ATATTGTTCATTAACTGATTGAGATGGTGATACCAGTTTTATTTTTGAATTTCCAGGATAATTTCCCCTTTGAGCCACCATTTGTACGGGTTGTAAATCCAGTCTTAAATGGAGGTTACGTCTTACATGGGGGAGCTATCTGTATGGAGTTATTAACTCGACAAGTAAGTCCAGTGTTTTCCTTGCTGTATGAGATTTGGTTGGTGATTGGAAAGTGTGATGTAATTTTTTTTTCTGAAAATCCTCAAGCTTATATGAGCTTTAAAAAAGGGAAAAATAGATCCTAAGAAAGGACAGATACGCAGAATTTCTAAGCTGAAAAAGGGTTAGATATGATAAAAGATTCCCTTCAGTGTAGCTAATGGATGAGTAATGCAGAACTGGGCCTTTATTACAGGGTTGGAGCAGTGCCTATGGTATGGAGTCAGTGATTTTACAGATCAGTGCCACGCTGGTCAAAGGCAAGGCCAGGATCCAATTCAGTGCTTCTAAAGTAGGTCACTTTATACACCTTTCTTAAGTACTCTCTGATTATAAGGGGTCTTTTGTCCCTATGTTGATGTATCTGTTGTATTATAAAATCAGAAGGTTACCCTTTGATAAACACTTCACTTATGATATTTGAAAACTGATTTGAAAGTTTTTAGCTCACCTGAGCTGAAGGCTCATGTGTGCTTTTCTGATTGAAATTTCTCTGTTGAGGTAATTGTTATGGTTAAATTTTCACAGTTTCTTCTTCAGACCCACTTAGGCAGATTTCAACCAAACTTAGCTCAAAGGATCCTTGGGTGACGGGGTTTTAATTATTTTTCCAAATAAAAGGGTCCTCTTCCAAGGGGAGATAATGTACAGTATAGAGAATATATAGAAAAAAATCTTTAAAAATTTATCAAAGATAGGAAAGCTGTTATCAGTCATATTTATATGAAAGTATCCTACCTTAAGGAAGGGAAGATGCATGTCTTTTTTTTTTTAACAAAGCCATGATCAGTCATATTTATATGGAAGCATCCTTGGGTAATGAAGATGAAAGATTTTTCAGTGTGTAACCCCAGGGGAAATTAGGACCACTACAAGGGATAAAGGTTTTGGAGTATGAGTAGGAAAAATCATAAAATTTTCTCAAGAAAGCAAAGATCACAAGGACAATGCCGGTAGTGAGCATTGTGGCCTTTAGTTGTTTATAGTTTTGCTAGACAACAAAGAATGGTTTAATCATAACAATACTCTTCTAATAACATCAAACTGTCTTTTTTTTTTATCCGAAACAGGTCATACAACCCTTATATTGTGATATCTTACTTTTCAGAATCAGTATAGCTTAGCACGAGCCCAACAGTCTTTCAAATCCCTGGTGCATATACATGAAAAAAATGGTGAGTGAAGGCTTTTGTTATCTTATCTTACCTTAAAATAGGGTGAATTCACCATGCATCGGACACCCTTGTACTTCAACAAGTTCTAGCGATTTTGCTATCTACGGAAAGTTATCAAAATGGAACTAAACATTTAGTATGTGATTAAAATTTGAATTTGGGACACAATTATATGCTTTTTATTGAGAAAATATTACCAAAAATCGAGTTTTAAAAATAACTCAGAATTCACCATGGATCGGACATTGTTTACCATGCATCGGACAGACAGTATTTGGACTGGAAAATTATCATACCTTTATCACAGTGGTTTAAAATCCTTGATATGGATATACTTTTATCTTTTATCTAAGAAATAACCCTCAACGTAAAATTAATTGACGATATCGTTGCACAAATGTAGAACGATTAAAGATGCCTTACTTTGCATTAGAAATGCTTTAAAATGCTTGTAATGCGGTAATTCGCGCCTTTTTTCATCATGATGATTTTATGATACATGCAACTTCAGGGTCAAATTTATGTTTTGGGGCATGGTTACTGCATACAAGGAAATTTTTGCCTCTGTTTTATTTTCGCCCCTTTCGCCCTCTTCTCGATTGGGCGAATTTAAAACGGGGCGAATTAAAATAATACAGCAAAATTTCTTAAACAGAATTATGACTGGGCGAATTTAAAATGGGGCAAAATTGTTCGCAAGTGCAAAAGGGTGAAAATAACACAGGGCAAAAATAACCCTGTATACAGTATTTTTATGCCCCACCATGAATATGGCCGGGGCATATAGTGTTTGTCATGTCCGTCTTCCATCCTTCTGTCCTTCCTTCACACTTTGCGTTTAGCTTAGTTCAAAGCTCAGTTTCAAAGAAACTATCCAAGATATTTTCATCAAACTTCATAGGGTGATAGATATTGATGAGAGCTATGCAACAGCCTCATCTTTTTTTGACCTTGACCTTTCCTTTGACCTTGACCCCACTTTTCTTAAATTAGTGTTAAACTTCATATGCTGATACATACTGATGTAAGCAATTCAACTGCATCACTATTCAAGATATTCTGAAATTTCATACACAAATTGAATTTTCATGTTGCATTACTGATATACACTTGGCGGGGCATTGATGTCCTACGGACATATTTCTAGTTTATGTAATAAAACCTCAATGGTCAAGATTCTGAATGCTAAAATCTTTTAAATTTTAAAGCTGACACAATTTGTAAACAGGCATTTTGATATTACTATCTACAATATCAGCACCAGGATATAGTCTTTGTATTTTTTACACCTTACTGCTTTATTGTCATGGGTAGCGGTGAGGAATGGTGACCCACGTTCATGCTGGTTATCTTGCATTACCTTTGTTGATATTTAATTGCAGTTAGGCATGTTTATGTTTGTTTTATACCGCATTGACCTGTGCAACTGTTGTGTATTTGGTATCTTACTCTCCTGCATTAGAAAAAGTACTTAGTTATACCCCCCGCAAACGAAGTTTGGGGGGGGGTATATAGGAATCACCTTGTCCGTCTGTCTGTGCAAACGTGTCCGGTCCATATCTTTCTTACGGAGGGACATTAGAATCTACTACTCCACACAAAGATTTCCCATGACCTAAGGGTGTGTCATGATCTTGACCCAAGGTCATTTGGGGAAGTTCAAGGTCACTGGAAGAAAAAGTTCATAATTCGTGTCCGGTCCATATCTTTCTTATGGATAAACTTGGTAGGTTCTCATTTCATGCAAAGATAGCCCATGACCCAAGGGTGTGTCATGACCTTGACCGAAGGTCATTTGGGGAAGTTCAAGGTCACTGGAAGAAAAAGTTCATAATTCGTGTCCGGTCCATATCTTTCTTATGGATAAACTTGTTAAGTTATCATTTCATGCAAAGATTGTCCATGACCTAAGGGTGTGTGGAGTGACCATGACCCAAGGTCATTTGGGGAAGTTCAAGGTCACTGGAAGAAAATTTTCATAATTTGTGTCCTGTCCATATCTTTCTTATGGATAGATTTGGTAGGTTCTCAATTCACACAAAGATTGCCCTTCACCCAAGGGTGTGTCATGACCTTGACCCAAGTTCATTTGGGGAAGTTCAAGGTCACTGGAAGAAAAAGTTCATAATTCATGTCCGGTCTACATCTTTTTTATGGATAAACTTGGTAGGTTCTCATTCCACACAGGGATTGCCCGTGACCCAAGGGTGTGTCATGACCTTGACCCAAGGTCATTTGGGGAAGTTCAAGGTCATTGGAAGAAAAAGTTCGTAATTCATGTCCGGTCCATATCTTTCTTATTGATAAACTTGGTAGGTTTTCATTTCACACAAAGATTGCCCATGACCCAAGGGTATGTCATGACCTTGATCCAAGGTCATTTGGGGAATTTCAAGGTCACTGGAAGAAAAAGTTCATACTTCATTGAGATACATATCTTTATTATGGAAAAACTTACTTCTGAAAAAACCCAGCGGGGGGTATTTTGTCCCATTTGGACAGTTCTAGTTATTTTTGTCACTATCGAGTGCTGAATAGCATGCAGTCTGTCTACAACTGTGACAATTGAGTACACTGAATGGTGTCTTAGTGAACTGCTCTGTATAGAGGTGCCCTCAGATATACAGAATAATGGATTGATTGTATGTTCTTGAGAATTTTTCACTCATATGGAGACGCCACCACTTGCCGGTGGAGACCTACGAATTTTGTCCTATACTCCGCACTCGGCCATTGAGCAGTGAGGAGTCTTTTCGTGCCAGCACCAGTGTCGACACGGGACCTCAGTTTACAGGTCATCTCAGCCGAAGGACCAGTCTCCATGTTCCACAGTGGGGTTCAAACCCACGACATTAGGATCGACTCCATACTTTAGAGCAGGTGCTCTAACCACTATGCCACAGGGGCGACGAGACAGATTGAATATGGCCGACAAATTCTTTATACGAATCTTGTTCAGCTTTAAATAGATTTTTATCAGACTTTTTTTGACATTTCACTTATTTCTGATAGCTGTATTATAAAGCTGTATATTATCATAGAAAAAAAATTGCCAAAAATATTTTTTAGAAGTTATTAAATTGCCTTTTGTTGGTTTTAGGTTGGTTTACACCCCCTAAGGAGGATGGCTAACCCGACAGATTGTCAGATTCACCACACATCTCATCCTTCACCTTTCTCTGTATCATCTCGGTTCATATCGTGGATAGTGGGAGATAACTGATGTTCTGTTAGTGTCAGCAAACACAAAGTGTTTTAATGCACATCTGACTGACCAAATGGAATATGATTTATTATACTGTGGTTTTCTGTAGGTGAGAAAACTGCAGTTCCATGGAATGACTGCATTGTGAAAAAAAAATCAAGAATGACTGCAAGACCTGATTTTATTGTCTTCAAGATATGCAAGTTTAATGATGTGTTTTGAAATATTTCAACAGTTCATACATTGTACACCAGTTGTATGATGATTTAAGATATCACCCTATATTGTAATTATACAGTCGTTAATGTATAACATAGAGAGAATGATTTGCTTCTGTATGTTGGTTCTGTATGCAATTAACCAACTATCTGTTAAATAAACATTAGATACTTATTATTTGTCAGTATTTGATTTTAAATTATTAAAGTGACCAAATTTACTGAGAAGATGAAGATGGACTCCTTTGTAGAATTTAAAGAGGGAGGTAACTTGAAATGTTTCCAGAGCCATGTAAAAGCAATGTCAACTGGTCAGAATTTACTGGTAGTCCAAAATGGCTCAGAATAAGCTAAACCGATCAATTTTCCTTGTCTTTGGTTGATCAAATCTAACCCATGAGATAGTTTCCGATTTCCACTGGGGGTGGATGAAGTGTCGACTGACTCGTTCCCTCTCCTTCTGTGAGCGGGGGCGGGGAGAGTCGCTGGTGTAGAAGAAGGGCTGGGTGTCCACGTTAGAGCTAGCGGACAGCTGTCGTACTGGAACGGGGGGGATATGAACACTACGGCAGTAGGGCAGGCGATGCTGAAATGAGGCATTCCTGAAGAGAAAAACAAGATAAAGACAGAATAGCAATAGATGCGGAATAATTTAAATGAACATGTAGATTTAAGCCTACTGTATCCATTGCATAAAAGTGCATAAATTAATGGTGATTGGAAAATAAATAAACAAGAGACTGATACAGTTATGGATGGACAGTTATCATACCTAAACCAAAAGGACATTTACCTTTTGACTATTTCATTCTTCCATTTATTTTCAAAATCTTTCTGCCACCTTTGTCTTTTACTTTCTTTTTCCTCACTCGTCCAGTTTCTGAGTGACGCATGCGCACTGCATGTCTCCCTGTTTTGGAGGTTCCTCCGGATAATATGTAGGGGGAGGCGGTGAGGGGAGATTGTTTTTCCCATGTCTGGGCGGGGCGCTGAGTGGAGCCAACGCTCACGTAAAGCTGATGTTACTAGAAATAGAATACACAGTTATGCCAATTAAAACTATGTTAATTTCATTAATGGGTGTCCACATACATATGAGGATAAACATTTTACCACAATTTCACTTACGCTGACTTGTTCACAGTGTGATGTAGAGGAAACGTGAAGATATATTGGTTTATTTTAAAAGTCTTTAACCTAAAGTCTTTGACATCGAGTATTCGATTGGTATCCTTTCCCATTTAAAGCACTAAATATTACATTTATTATTGAACTTGTATCAGACTGGCATATGAATGAAGTGTTACATCTTGGAATTCATTCACTCAGTTCTATCCTATAAACATTGAAGCTGCATTTCAAGTACTTGCTGAATAAATGACCAGGGTCAATGTAATGTTACTAGTAATTTCATGCTCTACTTTTCTTTTTTATCCACACAGGTTTAAGAAGCTGTGAAAAGTAATGCGATGTTTCGACTGGTCACAGTATTAACTTTTCAGCTGGTGATCTTTCGTGACAATGAACTACACTTAGGAAATTAATCAGGGAATCATACTATTATCATTGTGTAAAATTGACCCTCTTATAATTTTATACTAAAAATTAGGGATGTCAAATCGGTCAATTTTTAGTACTCGGTTACTCGGACGTTTTTCCGATCGAGTACCCGGGTACTCGGTAAAAAGTGTAAATAAATATGAACAAGTAAATTGATGACTGTAAAACATTGAAAACTCTTGTAGAAATAAAACCACATGCTTTGATAGGAGGTTTACCCGTAAATGTATTTCTGATTTAACAATGATAAGCACTTCGTGCCCGACGAAATTTAATATAACATTTTTTTTAAAATATCAGATAAACACAAGAAATATAATCATAAGTGGTTCACACTGTTTTTGTTTTTAATAAAAACACTCCTTCCGTAAATTGTAACTCTTTGTTGCGTTTGACGTCCAGGTATCAGTCGTCAGATCTACGTGTAGTATCAACTTGAACTTGACCTTGAGTTCTCAAAACAGAGCGGATTTACGATTTTCGCACACTTTTTCACTCCTATATTATATAGTGTTTCGGTACGGTATTTTGTAGTATAGTGCAACGATGGACATCACTTTTTAAAAGCCTTTGCCTTCAACCAATTGTATTGGCGTGTAATCAAATACAACCATATCAACAATCGCACGCTTTGCCCTCTCGGAGAATTGACAAAATTATCTAACTCATTTAAATATATTAGATATTCAGTGAAAACAAAGCAAATCAAAAATAATGGTAGAAGACACTCACAGCCAAAGGTGAGAAGGCCAGGTAGCAGGTGCTTGGTCACGATAATTACTATACAAACACTGTCAAAGGCGATAACGGTCATTTAGAGATGTGGGAAACCCTAATTACTGTATGTACAAGTACAATAAGCATTTTACGTTTTAAAACAGATTTTTATTGGATTAATAAATAAGCTATGAAATATTCAAAAATATACATCCGAGTAACCGAGTACCGATTTTAGTATTCGATACTCGGACGTTCGATCGAGTACCCGGTTAACCGGGTACTCGTTGACATCCCTACTAAAAATAGAAAATATGTTGGAGGGTTTTACACTAGGATAATAACTTGCGCATCCTATACTGACGAAAGGTACGAAACGTTGCTGGCACTTTACTTAAAAAAAGACTCGTAAGTTTCCACTACCAGTCAAGCTTTATGAAGGTGCTATCTGTGAACTAAATCTCCCAGAGTTAAAGGTTCTAAACTTTGTCAATTCCCATTGACCAAACTCGAATCAGCAATGAATTTAGAACTCCCCGTCATGTTTTGATGACAAATGTAACATACGGAGGAGAGTTCGCATCTGTTGAGCTAGAGTTGACCCAGTCTGATTAAAACCAGCCCCCTTCTCCTTTCACTCGTCACTGACGAGTGAAAGGAGAAGGGGGCTGGTTTTAATCAGACTGGAGTTGACCAAATATGCAATGATTTTGAATGTATGCAGGGATTTTTTAAAAGCAGCCACTGGGGCGACTTTCTTTTTCATTTGAACTTAAAAAATACTCCCTCAATGACTTAAAGATTCATCGTTGATTTGAGACCCTGCCTTGCACTGGTTTGATCGACTCCAATATCGCAACCGAGGATGCATGTTGGCCTTAATGTACCACCCACATATAATCAGTATGATACTGATACTAATGACTCCAGAGCGATACATACGGTTTCTAAATTTGTCATTGGGCCGATGCTGCTTTGAAAGAGTGTCGTCACCGCTGCCCAATCTTATCTGCTCCAGGGAATCCTAAAAGTTAAAGAAAAAAAATCAAAGTACTAAAACTACTCACAGTATTGTCGGTACTCCGGTGACATATTCCCCTCGTCTATATGTCCACAGATGGAGAAATATCCAGAGGCATTTATACTCAGCTAATCTGGGTCCTACAAGTCTATGTAATCTGTGTTTTGATTTATCTGTTTTGTGTTGAAAAATCAATAGCGATCTGTCAATCGGAGGTATTGATAAGTCGTGAAAAATTAATAGAAAAGAACCTTCGTGAGAAAAAGAACCAACCATAAGTTCAACAAAACGCATGCACTTGTGGGGTAAATAATACACATCCAAAGGCATTTGGTGAGACTTTTAAATTGTGTTAGAAATATACATCTTCTGTTAGAAATATGTATAGTACTACAATTTTACGGTTTATCCAAGATTAATTAATATGGATCTTTAAAAAGATAATGTAAATTAGTGTTAAATTTAAATCCCCTGCACCTTGTGACATTAAGACTGGGTACAAAATGGGCATGCACATTTCGCATCGTACAATAACTAATATGTACAAGTTAAATTGATGCAAAGCGAGGCGGTTTATTCTGTCTTTTCACAAACCATGAACAGTCTTCCGTAACCCTATCATTTCGTCACACTTTATGTTTATTTCAGATTCAAAATAATAATAATATTGAAAAAAAAAAAATAGTGAAGATATTTTTATCAAACTTCATATTCGTACGCCGAGACGTACTGATATCATAAAAACTATTCTAATGCATCATCATTTTTCCACTTGACCTTTCTATTGTTCTTGTTTTTAATTTCTAAAAGAAACTTATGATATTTTTATCAAACCTGTTACACTTTATGAGTATGCATATTGCATAATGTCCAATTGCATCGACCTTTTTGACCTTTCCTTTGACCTTGATCTCACTTATGCTTAGTTTCAAATTTTATTTTATTCATTTTTTTAAAACCTTGTCATTCCTATGACATTCATCATTTATCTTAAAATGGTATTAACCTCCGTTTCATAGAAACTATTCAAGAGATTTTAATGAAACCATATACCGATATGCGATATGCTTATACATATTGGTGGAAAGTAACTGCATCAACAATTTTGACCTTTCCTTTGACCTTAACTGCAGATTAATTTTTTGCCAAATTTCAGTGAAAGTATTCAAGATATTTTTATCAAACTTAATATGCTTATATATACATATTGATGAGAGCTATGTAAAACATGAACAAGTTTGTCCCTGACCTTTTTTTTTGGCATGGACTTTAAATTTGTGTTTAGTTTCAAAGAAGAATTGAAAATATCTTTTCTAAATTAAACTGTTGATGAAAGCTATCTAAAGACATCAATTTTGACCTTGACTTTTCCTTTTCACTTTTCTCAAATTTGTTTTATCGACGTTTCAAAGAAACATATCAAGATATTTTTATCAAGCTGTGTTTGCTTTTACATATCAAGCTATTCAACTTCGTCTACATGAAAAATAGATAAATAAAATCAACCTTTGAATTACGTAATTTTTATTACTATGAAGTCTGTTTTTTTTAAAAATAATTTTGAGTTGTGTGTTTTTGTGAGTATGTAGCTAGGTTTTTGAAAGATGGGTGGATGCTAAAAGAGGAAAAAACACTTGGAAATGCCTAATAAAACATTCAAGAGACTTTGTCCATTTCTTTTACCTGGCCTTCCCAAAGACATTTGACTTTACTATTCATTGTGTATGAATAAAGCTTTTCAAGATATTTTCAACAAAAGTCATACACTAATGTTACTGATGAACCCTGTGTGGGGAATACTGTACATATCTTAGGGACATATTTCAAGTTGCTTGTTTCTCTTCGACCATTTTTCACTTATAATGAGACGCCACCAGTTGCCAATTAATGTAGGGCTTCAAATTGGACATTCTATACTCTGCATTTACGACCTTTGAGAAGTGGTGGATCTTTTTCTAGATCTTTTCGTTAGCGTAATCGTCCGATCCGAAAAAGGTTCTTGTGCAATAAACTAAGAGAGAGAGAGAGAGAGAGAGAGAATACATTGAATGAAAATTTGTCCATTTGCTTTATTAGTACCCATCATTTGTATGGCTATGTATTTTACTGACTATTAAATCTTTGACATTCTTCACTTTTTTGTATTTTGTTCATTTGCCCTGTGATTAAGGTTTCTTATATATATATATATTTTTTCTTTCAGAATCAAACTTTACCGTAAGGAATACGTTATTTTACTTTGCTGTTTGTAATACGTAGAAATATGTATCTTACCTCTACATTCATTGCTTTGTCTCGGTTTACCACATAAAAACTAGCATCGAAAACAGTTTCACCTCCATATTGTTCAAATCATTAAATATTATTTCTAAATCAAATTCAATTTCCCGTCATTGTTATTTGCCCTGAATTCATTCCCTCTCCTTTTTCATTAACCGTATTTTTAATTACATTTTGAGGGCGTCGATCTTAAGAGTTCTAAAGTTTAAAACTACAAAGAGAACAACAATGCATAATTGCATGCATGGATTGGATCAGTTTTAAATGTCTATTTAATGTATAGGAAGTCTGGACAATGCAGGCCGGCTGCCTTTTATCCCTAGAAAACAATCCTATTGGATTGGGCTTTATTTTATGCAGTGGTGGACACCTTTTTGCATTATCTAGTGGGTGATTTAATCAAAGCCGATAAGATTTAAAGATTAGGATAATAAAATTTTGCAGGTATTATCTTATTGCCAGACACCTTTGTCCGTGTTATTAATATTAAACATTTTTCTCATACTGTTACAAATTAACTGTCGTCAAGATCCTCCCAGATGAAGAGCGAACAACTTGCCTATTTTTACGTACATGTATATCATCTTAATCTTATGAACTCCTACAACAGAAAGGGAAAATGAGGCTTAAGGACATACGCAATGTAGTTTGAACTTTTTCGTCTTTTTCCCATGGAGTTGAAGAGTTCAAATTCTTGAAGGAACTGCTATATTTTTAATGTCTATATGTGGTGTTGTACACCTATTCTAAAATATTTCCATTTCTAATTTCTTCTCTGTGATAACTCTTTCAGAGGTAGCGGAGTTCATTTCTTGATAATTCTACCGGAATGTAAATTAGGCATGTCGACATGTCAGGAGCTAGTCAGGAGCTAAGGAGGCCTAATATGCATGCAAATCTGCGCATCTGTCTCTGTTTCTGACGCTAAGGAGGCCATATATGCATGTAAATCTCGTGCAACTGCCTTTGTATTTGACGTCAGTACTAGTGGGTGAGGACTATTGAAATTAGTATGGGAGTCTTAGTGTAATTTAAATCTATGTCTACATTTTTAAAATCTAAATCTACAATTTTATTTCACAATGAAATGGAAATACATGTATAAGGAATCACTGTCTAGTTAGTATAGGGCATCAACGATAGTCGGAAACATGGGATAATTTGCATAACGGGCGAAGATTCCTTTAAACAATTTTGGATAAAAGAAACAAAATCTCCCAAAATTTTTGTCAATAAATAAAATACCAAAAATTCTTTTTGAACCTAAACAGTTAAAAAAGTATTTTCAGTATTTATTTGGGGGTGGGCGGGGGGTGTCAAAACATTTTCAGTTTGGGGTTAAAGCAATAAAACAAAATAAAGAAATAAATAAAATAAAACAAGAGGCCAAGGGGTCACATCACTCACCTGAGCAATTTGGCAAGGACAAAGCAGAAATCAGCATTAATAACTATGATCCCCTTTTATGGCCCCTCTTTTCTAAAAGGCATGATGATTTGAACAAATTTGAATCTTAATTACCTGAGTATGCTTTTATATTATTATGATGACTAATCATGACTTTGCTCTTCTTGAAAATATTTTAAAAGCTTTTTCCTGTGTATCGACTGTATTCATATCTTAATCGTTGACTGCCCATTGTGGCTTTACCTTTCCTATAGGAGTCATGTTTTGAACATGAATCTATTTCCTAGTGATGCTTATATATGATTATGACCATGTCTTTGCTGTTCTTGAGAAGATTTTTCCCTATGTATTTCTGTGTTAAACAATGATCACCCACTGTAGCCCCACCCTTCCCCCATGGGGACCTCATCATTTGAATAAAATTCAATCTTCATGACCTGTATGGAAGGGAATTACCGCCAAAAGTCTATGTATCTTGCTTTTATTCTTATTCTGCCTACTTCTTTATGCTTTGTTATTATTGTAATTATATGTCACTTTATTGTTTTAATATTCGTCTTTATTACATTTCACTTTGACTTTTATCCTTCTTCATTTTGACCTTACTTCTATGTTGCTTTATTCTTGTAAATTCATTTTACTTTCTTTTAAATTGATACAGTTTCTTAAATGATTATAACTATTAGGAACGTTAACTCAATCACGCAAACAATGAAGCATATTCAATGAAGACGAATACAAGTTGTCCGAATTTAGTGCCGCATTATAACGCTAGATGGCAGGGGTGTTCGCTAAGAGTGTTGGTAAAATTAGGTAAGCAAACCCGGGCCGGGGTTATTCGAGTTTTTTTCAATTTTCTGCCTTAATACTTATTAATCAAACTTAAATTTTTAAAAGAACGATGTTTGTTATAAGTCCAGGTATGTACCCGATACATGCCATTCCCTCGGAAGTCTCGCTAGATGGTAAGCCGCCCGGAAGACTGACTACATAGTGATGCTTCCTTCTGAAGACTATACAGTGGGACTCCTCCCCCCCTCCCCGGGGAAGTTTCAATATATAGCTAGTCTTCCGTGGGAAATCTCGCTATACATAGCAATTCGCCCTATTCCTAGGAACCCCTACCCCGAATAGTTTTTTTTTTTTTAAATCGTAAAACAATGTTTATATATACTAACGTTTTCAATTTTTGAAGAAAAGTTATCCGTTCAATCAGGGACCTATATACTAGTATATAGGTCCCTGGTTATCTATGAATAAATATTTAAATAATATAATTTTAATAGTGTTTTATAATTAAATCATTTTAACCATTTAGTTAAACATAGATAATCTTCACGAGTAAATATGGATAATGACTCTTTCTCTCCCCCCCCCCCCTTTGGATGCAGTCGCCCGCGTGGCACTGTGGTTACGGCATCTGCTCTATATAGAGTCACGAAGTACAGTAGTAAGGAGTCGACCAATACGTCGTGGGTTCGAATCCCACTATAGGATGTGGAGTTCTGTCCTTCGGATGAGATCTAGACCGTATTATCTGAGGTCCCGTGTCGCAGTAGGTGCTGGCACGAAAAAAGATTCCTCACTGCTCAATGGCTATAAGTGCCGAGTATATAGGACAAATTTGCAGCTCTCCACCGGCAAGAGGTGGATTCTCCATTTGAATGAAAAATTCTCGAAAAGGAAATTATACAATGTACAATCACACCACCAAAGTCTCAATATATATACTGACTTCCGGGTGGACAACCTCCTATGGGGTAAGTCATCGGTAGAGGGGAGGGTGGCCACGAAACATTTACCTAAACGTAAGTTTTTACTACTGGAAAGGTTCAGCGAAAGGCTTGTCGCCCCCATCCCTTACACTTTTTGTTGCAGTACTAATAGTCAATTTATATATTAAAAGTCATGTACTTAATGGCATATGAGTAAAATTTATTACTGAAAAAAGTTGACGACCCCCCCCCCCCTTCACTACCACCCAATAGAATTTTCGAGCTTTAAGATTGTTTTTTAGCTCTCCTGGTTGATGACAAACACGGTGCGTACTAAAGATATTTTTTTCTTTGTTGAAAAGTGCTATTTTAATATAAAATATTTATGCAGAAAAAAAGACCGGGGTGTTTCTAGTATGCCTGGGTGCATGTAGTCTGGTTCCGACTTCGCCTTCCTTGCGCGGATCTAGAGGGGGGGGGGGGTAGGACCCCTTGGAATTAACAAGGTTACTAAAACAAGGAAAAAAAGTTAACCCCCCATGAAATAGAATTTTGACGTTTGAGCAAGTTTAGGTTTTTTTCTTCTTTTTATGCTTGTCAAGAAACTTCTGGGATTGGATTTTTTTTGACTGAGTTGCCCCCCCCCCCCCCAACTGGAAAAAAATTCTGGATCCGCGCCTGCCTATCCATAACGCTCCTCACTCCTTTGCAAAGCCCTGTCCCTAGAATCACGCGCATAAGCAGTGACTATCTGTTGTGAAATAAAGTTCAGTTCAGTGGAAGGTTCTGAAAAAAAACCCAATTTATAAGGGTTAACTAGTTTCAAAATCTTTAACCTTTTTATAACAATTAAACTTTAATTCAAATATCCAACAAATAACTTGAGTAGAGCTATATTTTTCAGGCGAGAGAACAGTGACGTAGCATCGTTTTTGAAAGAGGGGAGGGGGGCAACAAGAGAATAAATATTCAAGCTACCCGACTGAAAACAACTTGACAAGCGCAAAATACTCCAGAAAATTGGATATTGTCCAAACTTGAAAATACATCTATAGGTGTCGGTACCGGGGAGGGGGGGGGGGGGCTTAGCCCCCACTTCTTTCCAAAGATAGACTTAGTATAGACATTGAACATTCCTGCGTAGCTTTAGCCCCCCCCCCCCCCACTTTCCATGGACACGATGCAGTAAAGGTATAAAATAGGGAAACTGGTGGTATTTGGGAAAAAAAAAACTTTGGCACTGGAGTTCAAACCTTCAACCCACCCCCACCCTACCCTCCTCACGAAATAGGATTTTTGTGTTTGGAAAATGGACATTGCTTGTCAGGTTTTTTTTGGAAGGTCCCAAAAATTTATTATACTTACCCCCCCTCCCCCCCCCCCCCCCCCCCACACACACACACTTTCAATTAGCTTACGACGCCAATGAAATCGTATTTCGGGGGCGGGGTGGGTTTTGAGTTAGATTCAACTTCTTCTATAGAATCAAATTTAAATTTTCTTCCTACTATACGTACTACATTTACTTATTTGACCCTTACTCTTACAAAAAGTGGGTCGGCCTTTAAATGAACAAATAGTATAGTATAAAGTTATGTCTGAAAAAAGAAGCCGCAATTCCTGTGTGCCCAGAGAAACTAAATATGGAGTTTCCATCATTGGATCGGGAGATCGGATCCGGCCTTCAGAAGTTCGATTGATAAAGTATTAAGGCGTATATAAGAATCTCATGTAACCCGACCCGGGTTTTCTTACCTAGTTTTACCAACACTCGTAGCGAACACCACGCCACCTAGCGTTATAATGCCGCACTAAATTTTGACGGTTTGACAACTTCCATTCGTCTTCATTGAATATGCTTCATTGTAAGCGTGATTGAATTAACATTCGAAGTAGAGATAATGCTAATAATTTATTAAAGAAACTGTTTAAGTTTAAAAGAAAGTAGAATGAATTTACAAGAATAAAGCAACATTGAAGTAAAGACAAAATGAAGAATGATAAAAGTCAAAGTGAAATGTAATAAAGACGAATATGAAAACAATAAAGTGACATATAATTACAATAATAACAAAGCATAAAGAAGTAGGCAGAATAAGAATAAAAGCAAGATACATAGAATTTTGGCGGTAATTCCCTTCCATAGACCTGAAGGTGTTTCCACATTTATATGACAATCGTGGTGTTGCTGTTCTTGGATGTAAAACTTGAT